GCCCCGAGCCCCGAGCCCCGAGCCCCGAGCCCCGACCCCGAGCCCCGAGCCCCGAGCCCCGAGCCCCGAGCCCCGCCCCGAGCCCCGAGCCCCGAGCCCCGAGCCCCGAGCCCCGAGCCCCGAGCCCCGAGCCCCGAGCCCCGATCCCCGAGCCCGAGCCCCGAGCCCCGAGCCCCGAGCCCCGAGCCCCGAGCCCGAACCCCGAACCCCGGACCCTTTGTTCATCATACAGTTGCATTATTCTGATGATTTGATTCTGGCACTTAAAGCATCCCACTTGTGGTCCCACTGAGCTTTGTTCTTAAGTGATGTCCTACAAAAGCTCCGAACATTTTACAAAGATCTTCACTGACAAGAAATATGGGCAGAATCTACAAGAAATAATGAATGTGTTGTCAAATGTTTTACGAACCAATGATTATGGTGCTGAACCAATGTTGCTATCATATGGTGTTTCCATTTGTTGATCTGAGATAAAATTTGACTTCTTCAACTCCAAGGTTAGAAGTAAGATATGATGAATATTTATTTCCATAGAAGAGAAGCTAAAATTTTAACAACAAGAAACTAGTGGAGCCAACTAAGATTGAACAATAGGTTGTTGTTAAACATCTCGACATGATATGGTCTGAATGGCTTGTTCGAGATTTGATTAGATGTAGAGACATGAAAGGAATTAGGATAAACCCTCCTTGTGATGTGTTTCAAGAGTCAAATTAGAACAGGCGTTGCTCGCCTAATTAATCTCTGCTGAGTTTAGCATATCTACATCTATATTCTTCAAAGATGATAGATTTATTCTTCAAATATGATAAATTCTCTCTTCAAAGATGGTAGATTCTATTTTCAAAGATGAAAGCTTTATTGGATTTCTACACAAGTCCAGACGAAGAAAGCAGATGTTATCAAAGACAAAAATGGGACATCAAGGTCATAATTCTGATTACAACCAGTTCCATAAATGAAACATTTCTTCTCAGACTTTAATGAAACAAAGAAGACACAAAGATACAAGTTGATCAAATGGTTCTTCAAAAATATAGCATAAGTTACTACACTGATATCCGAAGGTAACCCTGGAAATAAATGATCAAGTGAAGGAAAACCAAGTTCACCACTTTGAAGTCATATGAAGATTGCATCAACATTCATTCATTCATAAGAACATCATTTGCACAATTGACAATGCATTACATTGATACATTTGATTGCATTCAAATATGAAGTTTTACAGGTTTTCAAATGAAAAAAAAAAGAAGATTCATGATGAAAAATACCTTATAAGTGTAAGGTAGAATTCAAACTTCAAGTACATAAATCAAATGCAGGAATCACGCAAACATCTGAAGAATAGATGGACGCAATTCATAAGAACGAGCATTATTTTGAAGTTAGGGTCATGTTACCCAATCAACAAGTTATTTCAATGAAAAAATGATTTCTAAAGTTTCTCATTTAATCTTTTCTGAAAATGAAATTGTTGAATAGTAAGAAAATAATTTCCAAAGTTTCTTACTTAATAAATTATTTCCTGAATTTGTAAGTCCATCGGGCCATCTGTAAGTCTTTAAAGCATGATGCTTAAATCCTTCGGGTCATCTGTAAGACCTTCAGTGCAAGATGTTAAGTCCTTCGGGCCATCTATAAGATCTTCAGTGCAGGATATTTTCAAATGAGATTTTAGAAACTAAGCCTTTCAGGGGTTTCCTAATTATCTCAAAAGAGCTGTTAAAGGAAGCTAACCCTAACAAAGGGGATCCTTGACAACTAAGAAACTAAGCCTTCGGGGGCTTCTTAATTTAAATCCTTCGTGTCATCTGTAAGACCTTCAGTGCAAGATGTTAAAGCCTTCGAGCCATCCATAAGACTTTCAGTGCAGGATGTTTCCAAATGAGATTTAGAAACTAAACCTTCGGGGGTTTCTTAATTTAAATCCTTCGGGTTATCTGTAAGACCTTCAGTACAAGATGTTAAAGCCTTTGGGTCATCTGTAAGACCTTCAATGCAAGATATTAAAGCCTTCGGGTCATCCATAAGACCTTCAGTGCAGGATGTTTTCAAAGGAGATTTTAGAAACCAAACCTTTGGGGGTTTACTAATTATCTCAAAAGAGTTGTTAAAGGAAGCTAAGTCTAACAAAGGGGTTCCTTGACAACTAAAAAACTAAGCCTTTGGGGGTTTCTTGATTTGAATTCCAGAGATCATCAAAGATTCAAATCCATCACTTGAGGATTCAACAATTCTGTCTTAATCAAGAGAAGTCAATTGAACAAAAATTTATTGTCTTTTCGTCTTTGCCCTATTCTTGTTAACATAAGAATGGGCAAAGGGGGCAGCTGTAGACATTAAATTTTTGTCCCAGTTTTTTTTATTATATTATTATTATTAATAAATAAATAATATTACAGACCCAAAACCCACAGTCCAATTACAACCGGGTACCCAGTTATATCAGACCCGGAGGCCCAACCCGGTCCAGGCCCAGCAGAACCCTTCTAGTGTTTTCATCCTCAGCTCCTAACCGCCTTTCTTCTCAGCCGTTGGATCTGGCCTTGATCCAACGGTCCAGATGGTCCCAGCAGAAAACCCTAGGGTATCATAACCCTAGGGCCACGTGGCTGCTACCTTCACGTCCAACCATCCACTGTCGACACTCCCATTCCACGCCCCAAGCCTCGCCGAAGTCCCCAGAAGGCCAGATGGCCACCCACATTGATGCCCTATGGTGAGTCACCACCATAGTTCGGTGACTCACCGAAAGACCCCTCTTAGGACCGGTCCGAGCATAACATTGGGGTAGGCTATAAAAGCTAACGACCACCTGCAAAAGAAAAACACGGCGACAGAGAAAGAACACGGGGAGATCGATAACAAACGACCACACAACAAGCAACAACCATTCGAAAAGAAAAACAAAGAGGAAAAGATAAGGAACTTACCCTCGGAGAGTCTAAACGTCACCGGAGATCCAAATATCGAAGGTAAAAAACTAGATCTAGGAAAATCTAAGGGTTTTTAGGAGAAACGGAGGCTGGATTTAGGACGAGAGAAAATCGAACATTAATTTGAGGTATTTTTGTAATTTCTGGCCACCGTTCACGGTGGCCGACGGTGGTGATCGGTGCTCGAAACGGCGACCGGCGAATGGCCAGCTCTCTCTCTCCGGTGAGAGAGTCTAGGGAGAAGGAAGAGATTTTTCTCTCTTTAGAGAGAGAGAAAAAAGAAAATAAGAAGAAATGGCCCAAGGGGGCCGGTTTAAAGGGTATTAATACCCTCATCAAAACGACGTCATTTTGATGAAGGGTGCTTGTGTAATTTCCCGCATGGGAAAACCCTTTCCACAATCCTTTGAAGATGTAACATTTACGTTTTGGTCACTAAAAGCAATTTCTGATTATTTTAAGTCGGTCTTCTTTTTTATTTTATTTTAATTTAGTCATTACCTATATATGTTTATATATTTAGGGTAAATATCTATTTAGTCCCTATAATTTTGAATTATTTTATTTTGATCTAGTAATATTATTTATGGCTAAATTACACTATCATTACCTATATTATATAATATTTCGAATTATGTCCATTAACTTTAATATTTTACAATTTAATCCTTAAAAGCATGTTTCTGTTTATTTTAATTTGGCATCCTTATTTTATTTTATTTCTTTTTAATCATATATTTTTATTATTTTAGTTACTAATTAATTTATATATATGTCCCTAATCCACGTTCAACATAAGAGAAACATATTAATTGTTAGAAGAAAATCTAATAATAAAGAAGTCCAAAATTTATTCTGTCTTTCATGAAAATAAGACTTTTGGTATCAGTTAAGTGGAAAAGTAAACTTATCCTGCTTTTGCGTTGAAAAGTCCAATATTAATTGTGTGCTTCATGTTGAAATCAAATCTCTGCTTTTGAGTTAAATTACTTTAGTTATGTACCTTAAGGTAAAATACTCTATTTAACCCTTATTATTATTATAATTTTAATTTTAATTCAGTATTGATATTTATTACACTAATAGTATTTATATTTAAAAATAATTTGAATTAGGACTATTAATTTATATATTTTATAATTTAATATTTTATTTTTATTTTTATTCTTAATAATATTTATTTATTTTTTAATATTAAGAATGGGGTTGTCTTAAAGTAACTAGATGTCTTTTTTGATATTTTTAAATAAATAAATAAATACTTTACTTATATATATATATATATATATATATGACTTCATTTTTATTTAAATTATTTTTTATCATATTTTTATTAATATTTATTTATTTTTTAATATTAAAGAAATGAGCTGTCTTAAAGTAACTAGATGTCCTTTTCTGATATTTTTAAATAAATAAATATATTTAAAATATATATTTATTTATTTTAGTTTTATAAACATTATTTTAAATATATTTTTCCTTAGAATTATCCGATTAAATATGAAATAATAGGATCATAAATTAAATTGATATTCGAATTCTTAAACTTATACTACTAGAGACAATTTATAATCGACGGGTACCAATTTTGGGCGTTGTGGGGTGTTAATCATTCCCCAAACGTAATCGACCACGAATCCCTTTTTATTATTAACAAGAACGAATTTTTGGTTAAACGTAGACCGGTTTATTTTTTGACTGATGTTTTATTAAAAACTCTTTTAAAAATATAGTTTTTAGATATTCGACCTACCTAACCCAAAAGACCGATGGCAACTCCAAAACATTTAATTAAAAACCATTTATTTATGTACATTACTTTTATGCAAAGAAAAATTCGTATCCGGACGAAAACCGATTACGACATATACACTATATAATATAAATATACAATATATAAATATATATATATATATATACAATATAAATATACTATAATTATAATATAAATATATAATCATATAATATGTATATATTATATAATATAAATATACTATAAGATATATAATATATAAATATATAATAATATAATATACTATATAAAAAGGGTCGGACGAAAATGTGTGTCTACAATGAATAAAATCTTGATATGACTGTGACAAGCTTTCAGGACGCATCTCGAATGCGTACATAACCAGATATGAGCATCAGTAAGTAAAATGGGATGAAGAAGAAACAAATGTTGATGACGAAAAATACATGAACCAAAGCCTTGCAAGAGAAAAGCAGATATAAAACAAGAAAGTTTCCAATCATTTGTTAACCTGACAAGCAAGCTCGGATGTAAATGTGGGATGCAAATATATGTCCTATAACGTTATTGAGTTCGTTAATTTTTTTCCAAGACAGCTATCTAAAATTGATGTGCATGGAGTAAAAGGAAAAGAAGTCCAGAAGTGTGAAGTAAACACTTGGCCACAAAAAGCAATATGTACTTGGTATTCTTACCTGGGCACATGCTAAAGCAAAAAGCAGAGAATCACCATGGTTCCAATGGCTTCCCCATAAGTGAAACTTATTTTTCCCCTTTGCAGAATTGTAAGCACACTGAAGAGAAGAAAAATTAATTTCTATGAATGATTTCAGATAGCCTTGAAAATTTAATATTATAAAAAAATGCATGAATATACCTAGGCTACTCTAGCAAGAAGATACAGTGCAAGCGTACGCCTTCGGTTTGAATCATCTAAAGCTAAAACAGGCTTGAACCTGCTAAAATTCTGTTTCATCATACAATGAATAAAAGTTCATTTTCCAATCGAAATATGACATTAGAACCAAAACAAAGAAGCCAAAAGCAAGACCTTATATTCGATAGAGTGAACTTACGCATTCAGTGGTGTCTCTATCTTTCTCAGTTTTCTTTGTAAACATCTAAGTTAGTTACATGCACAAAAGAAAGGTTAAACTCCGACACTTTTGATTAAGTGGAATAAATAAATGAACTCCACCCACCTTCGAGACTGCTGTTGCTCACGACACGCCAATAATTAATGCATTAAAATAATGCACCTTAAAACTTATCCAAATCAATGAGTGCAAATTTAAAATCATTTCACTTCCATTCAAGATAAAGATTTTTCAATACTATTTAAAATAAAATAAAAAATGATAGGAAGATGGATGGTTAATGAATCAGCAAAAAGTTGCGAAGCTGAGCTTTTTCTAGAGACCGGCATACAACTACTTCATCAATCCTTCAGGTTCATCCTCTATATGAAGCCGATTCATTCTCATCGAGCTAGAAACTAATGAAGCCAGCCAGGTCTACTACCCTTTGCAATGACAGAACCCACATTCACCACCACTGCATTCTTGAATCATACTCTTCCACCCTGATTCACATAACCTCAAGTAAGAGATACAGATGATTATTTCTCTCCAAATGATCATGCCAAGAACACCCGTCTTTTATTATTATTATTACTTTTGGATAAATTTCATTTTATAAATCTAAAAAGAAACGGCAAGCTACTACAAGAAAACAAAACTTCCCACACCTATTCAATATTTTAGTCTTATACACAGTTGGGCATTCACCATCTCTATCTGATCTGTCTATATATTTTCCTGTAACCTTCATACTAATTGTTAAATATATTCTAGAAGACTAGAAGCTTTGTAGTATGTTAGTTGACAGCTCAGCATATACAGTCAGTTTGGTATACCAATTCCAACCTTCAAGTTGTTATCAGTTGGTTACTTTGTATCCACAGTGTATAAAACAGATACTCATTAAGAAAGTACATAGTTTACAAACAATATTCTTCTCGACTATTTTCCTATTTCTCTAGTTTCTTAACGTGGTATCTTTCATCGTGTTCTTGAAGTCTTTTTCTCTTCGTTGCTTTTCTGATGTGCGTTCTTCTACTTTCTTTTTATCTTTGTTTCTCCTCTTTCCTGTTGGTTATTGTTTCTAATCATTATGGAAAATAATGCTCAACAAAACCTTTAATTGGGAGAATTATCCTTATCCAGGGGTGGCAGGATGTTCACATACAAGAAGATTAACATCTTGCTCGATGAAATAAATTTTCTTTTGTGGCAACAACTAGTTCTTCGAACTGTCAGGATTCATTCACTTGGAAAGATTGCTCACCGACGAGATGCGATCTTCACTAGAGAAAGTTCAAAATGCAGATGGTTGTCAACGAGGATTATGAGATCTTTGTTGCACAAGATAGTGCATTGGCGTCATGAGTGCTCTCCACAATCAGTGACCATATTCTACCTCGGTTTGTGGGTGCTGAAACGACAATAGCTATTTGGGCGACAGTATTGAAATTTTTCGCAAATCGTTCGACTACAAGTGTGATGAGTCTCCATTATAAGTTGAGATCGATCAAGAACGGTGATAGCAGTACACAATTTTACCTTACTCAAATTAAAGAGGTCTGTGATGCCCTAGCTGCGTGTGGGAGTGCAGTCTCGGATTTTGACTTCGATGGCGTCAATGGTGGCTCATGAGAGTGGTGATTGGTTGAGTTTTTGAAATTAATTTGGCAATGAAGTTTGCTTTGAATAGATCTTTTGAGTTTTGACCCATTTTCTTGGTAAAAAAAATAATAGGACTAAGATTAGGCGGGTCTGATACGGAGAATTTTTTTTGTTGAATTTAACTCGATACAAATATTATTGGTTTTGACTTCAGATAATGTGATGAGCTGGATCATAAAATAATTTGTCCTTCGTTAGACTTATGTCCATCATTTAGTTGTTGTAAGATACTATATACGTAAAGGCGTGCAAGTGTTAGATCATATGATTACAATAGTCGAATTATATTTCTGGGACAAGTAGTGGGATTTGTCAGGATCGTCAATTATAATCAACATCTGCTGCTTGGCTTAGGCCCGACGCACACGAAAGACTCAACTCTTATTCTCGGTCCATATGGAACAACCCAGCTGACATTACTTTTGGGTTTGCGGTTCACCTTGATAAGCTTCCTGCTGGGAAATGTTTTAACCATGAATGATAGGTTCATCAAATAATTTATCCTGATAAAGAGTCGGCTGTCTCATCAACCACTTGTGCAATGCAACATGACCTTTGGGAAAGTAAATATATCCCGTCAACTACCATTCCAGGTCCAGGGATAAACTTATGTGATAGAAAACAGCAATTTTCATCTTGTTTTTGTTTCCCCCAAAAGGTTTGTGAATATGGTAAACCCGACACCATTTTCACTTGGTTGGAACTTTACCCGTTAGCTCTATTTCAAGGTCCTTTTCTTTTCGTCATATTCTCTCATTTCACACTTATTAAGGTCCAATCATGAACTTAAATAATGGTCTGAATTTGTTTTTTGTTTTTTTTACAGAATTCTGTAGTTTTAGGCTAAATAATGGCCCTTCTCCACAGGCTCCATACCTCCAAGCTCATTTGTTCAACAAGGCTCTCTTCTTAAGTTGGAATTCAATAATACCGAGCCCATCACAATGCACCCCGTTTAACCCAATGAACCTTCCTAGTATCCCCATTGCTACCCCATAGAAAATCGGCGTTGACATATAATTTGGTGGATAAATTTGAGTGAACAGATCGAATAATCAGTGATTTTTTGTACAAAATTTACTCTAATAATCAGTGACGAAAAGAGAATTTGTAGGCCATAACAATCTAAAGAGTGAAACTAGCAAGGAGTTATAGTAGTAATATACACGCCGTAGTAAGTTTCAGCTTCTCGGATCATACTGACTAAAAAAACAGAGACCAACACCTGCATTCACCTCCAACAACAGTATTTTAAGTTTTATTAGGCGTTAGAACTGAAAACTCCATTTTCAGATCACCATCACATGGAGTGGTATACATTATAATATTGCCAAGAATTAGCTGCTCGACCCCACCAAATGCCAAGGACCGAGGCTCCTGCTGAAGGTGACCTGGAAACTAACTATTAGACCCTCAGTTTCATCATAGTTGCAGAAAAAAAACAATGAACCAAGCTCCCACTCTCCATCTACTTTTTCTACCTCTATTTGCTTGATAACTACTAAAGTCTAAAGTCGCCAGCTTCATAGAAGATACCAAATCATAGATAGCCCCAAAACAAAGAAAAAGATACAGTTTTTCACCGCCATAGCCTTATTCAACAAGGTTTTTTTCTTATAATTAAAGGACAATCAGAGCCACGTAAACCCCTTTTTCCCCATCTTTCTCTATTTTGACTAGTCAGTTGTAGCCTTGGGCCTTGGTGGCCTTCAATTTTATTTTCCTTTTTTTTTCAAAACTAACACCCCCCAAAAAATGAATGGCACGACACCAAAAAGAAAGCCCTGCTGCTGCAATCATTAACCCTCTAATTCTCCAGGTAAAAAAAGAATTTTTTTTCAAAACAAATTTTGCCATTTCTATACAAACTCAGTGATTTAAGATTTTTTTAAAAATATTGTTTAGGATTTCTCTCAATACCTTTTATTTTTGTTGCATTCCCATTTCTCTGATCAGTTATATATGCAAAAATTACAGGAAAAAGAGGAAGAGAAAGAATTGGACCTCGGATCCTACGAACCTGGGATCCCATTGCCCTTAACATTCACTTCCCGGGTAAAAGTTGAGATTTTTTTTTTCTCGTTAGGAACCCAAAGTTTCTTCTTCGTTTGAGAATGTGAATCTGTGGTGTTTTGATGAAAAATAAATAAAATGCAGGTATTGTATATGTTGGGAGATATAACAGCAGGTCCGGCTTATCGGTTCAGCCAATGGTTGGAACTGGTTCGTAAACGGAGCGGGAGATACCGATCCTCTGGCTTCCCTAACCGTCACCACAGGCTCGAAACTATGCCTTCTTGGTACTCCATCTATGAACTTTGTTGTGTTTAACATTTCCCGTGTAATAAACGGGGCTTGAATTTAACTAAGTTGCCATAATTAATGTTTGAAGTGGGTGTCGAAGTTAACATTAATTAGATTACCTTGTTTTTACATATTCTTTATCCTCCAAAGGTGATGCCGTCGAACTGTTCCATAGGTTATACAAGCAATGATTGACCATCCTACATTTGAATAGCATTAGGTTGTAGATGTGTCAAATTATAATGGATGAGATTTTTCCTTTTATTTCTCACTGTTATTATTGTTCAGTGCAGAAGAATCATCCAATGATTCACAGTGTGTTCTCTCCGTTGAGCAACCTTCAGAAACCAGTTTGTGGGAAACACTAGGTAAATCAGCCGTGTTGGACATCGAGTCAAGTTCTTTTTCCTGGGACTTGCTAGCTTCACTTCACCATACTGAGCATAGTAGTAGTGCTGAACAATCTGAGGACGAACAGAATAAAGCCATGGAGGTGTGTGATACATCCTAACCATTATAGGTGGAAATGACAGCTTTCTTCAACTGGGTTAACAATCCAGAATCTAGTGGGAAAATTACTAATATCAAAGGAACTTTTAATGTTTTTCTTTTATTGTCACTATTCTTTATTAGCTAATCAGGTCTGTTTTTACATGGGACGGGGATGCATCTAACTTCAAATATGATATATCTTTAAACGGATTAGTTTGTGAAGTAGTATAGATAGTTTCTAGATGCCAAAAAAAGTAAATATAGATACAATTGAAGGTTTAAAACTGCTGGAGTATGTATTATAATTTCAATATACATTTTATGTGCGCCAAACTCTGGCTGTGTTTTCATGTACCAAGAGTAAGACTTTGCTTGCCTTACAGATAATCACATCCTAATTAATTATATTGTCATCTACAGCCACATTTTAACTTTAGTTTTCTGCATATAGGTTACTGTAAATTCTGGAGGAGTTGTTTTCTTTGCATTATTCAACCAGCCTATATTTGATGATAATTCTCCAAAGGAAGCAGCAGCTGTTATTAAGTTTTCATCTTCAAGGATGGCCACACAATCAGAACGCCTAGGTTATGAGT